AAGACCTTTACAAAACATTGCTCAATACTATTTGTAATAAACTGTCTCTCAGAAGTCAAAAGGAAATCAGTGAAATTAGTCACCCAAGATCCAAACTGAATGTCCAGCAAAGAGATGTAAGATTGCTTTAACAAGACTGGTCTTGTCATTTTGGTTTATCATAAACCATTGAGTTGCATGTGTTAAAAAAGCAAAACTGGCGCGTGCCCAGGGCGGCCGCCAAGATGGTGGTGGGCGCGTTCCCCATGGCGAAGCTGCTCTACCTGGGCATCCGGCAGGTCAGCAAGCCGCTGGCCAACCGCATCAAGGAGGCCGCCCGCCGCAGCGAGTTCTTCAAGACCTACATCTGCCTGCCCCCGGCCCAGCGTGAGTCTCGCCCCGCCCGAGCCCTAGCCAGCGTCCCTAGCCCTTCCATTCTCGACCCCTCAGGTGGTTGCTCAGGGGGAGGGGCTTCTGGGCCTGACCAATCCCGGCACGAACCGGCAAAACCCTGTAACCAATGGGAAGGGCTTCTGCTAGAGGGGCGTGTTCCCTCTCCAATAGCGAGGAAGGGCGTGCGGTCAGGGGCGTCACCGCGCGAGTTTGGAATGCAAGCCAATAGGGAAGAGGGCTTGTGGCGGTTGACGTCTAGGAGAGCCAATAGGATGAGGGATGAGAGCCATTAGGGTGGGGCCTACCTGTCAGTGGTTAGGGGCGGGACTGATAAGAATCTCCTTGCCTTAGAGAGACTTGACTCTGTAAACGCCATCCTGTTCCTCAGTTTCCCTGCCGCCCTGTGGGTGCTTGCATATCATCCTGGGTTTAGAGCACGGTGCTTACGGCTTGGCTTTCCTCTGGGCCTGCGTAAGGGGCGTGATGGTGATGGTGGTGGAATCTGGGGTCCTGGGGAGTCCTGCGACCTGGCAAAAGGATGAACCCAGAGTGGACATCCAACCGTGTGATTATGAGTTTCCTCATACCCGTCCATTTGTTCGGTAGCCGCACCGTGCAGGCCTCTTGGCTAGGCACTGGCAGATACGGTCCTAATATGGCAGCGATATCTCAGAACCGTCAGGGACCGTGGGCAGTCTGGAGTTCAGAGCAAGCGGGTGAGCCAAGGGAGCCTCCTGAGCAGAGACCTCACTGGCATCCTAGACGCACCAAATATAAGCTCCTGAAAAGGCTGTCTCTGTGGAGACAGGCTTTGTAACTCGCTGAGTAGGGAACTACCGTTCATCCATTGCCCCGTGTAGCTTATAGATGATGAGCGTCTGTTATGTGCGAAGCCTGAGCTGACCCTGCTTATGAAATAATAGGGTCTATGCCAGTACCTGTCCATCAACCGAGGACCCGGGCTGTGACAATCTAGATGGGATGGCAGAGCCCACTAGACACCTGACCTGGTATAGAGTACAGAGAGTACTCCCTGGCAGGTGGGTGGGATCTTAGGAGTGAGGAGACTCTCACCAGACCACCGAGGGACAGGGACAGCGTTGGCTCCAAGGGAAGGAACACATACAAAGGCCAGATAACTAAGGGGAGCCTTTTCTTTTTTACTTCCCCTGTGTATTTGGAAGTTCTCGGTCCTTTTGGTGTTTGAAGTTTCTGCCTGGGCTGCAGATCTTACAATGGAAAAAGTGTTGGATTTTGAAGCCAGGAGTGGGTGGTGCAAATTCATATCCCAGGATTTGGGAGGTTGAGGCGGTAGGCACAGGAGGTCAGGACCAGCTTCAGATACCCTAGTGAGTTCAGCCTGGGCTACAACAACAACAACAACAAAAGAAACAGCTGGTATTATATGCTTGTAATCTCTGCACTTTGGAGGTAAAGGCAGGAGAACATTTCAAGTTAGGAGCTGTCCTCACATTGTGAGTTCCAAGGTTCCCAAGACACAAACTGGGGTCACGCTTGAAGTTTACAGAAGAAAAAAGTGAGGCCTCGGGGGCAGGAATGATTTGCTTCGGTCACGATCCGTGGTCACACTCCCATCACCATGGAGGCTTGTGCCAGAGCCTAGATGTGGACTCTGGACTCCTGGACTTGCTCTGCTTCCTGCTTCTCTTCGCAGCACTGGGACTGGTCTTAGCTTTGTAGTTTAGAGAACAGCTTGGTCCCACCCCTTAAGCTGCTAACTTTGGGCAGATCACTTAATCCCTCTGGGCCTCTGTTTCCAGTTCTGTGCAGGGGATACTATGAAACAGTAGCAGTTACTGTATTCTGGGGCATTGTATTCTTCCAGCCCTTACTGCACTGAATCCTCAGCAGTTACTGTGCTGTGGCGTCTGTTTTCCCACTTCATGTATGCCTTCTGTGCATCCATACTGCATGCAGTGCTGTATTACTGTGGGAGTATGGAGACAGAAAGAAATCCAGGTCTCACTGGGCAGTGCTGGTGCACACCTCTAATCCCAGCACTCAGGACGCAGAGGCTAGCCAGGGCAACATAGAAACTCTGTCTCGAAAAACAAAGAAAGAAAAGAAATCCGGATCTCTGGGGATCATCCATTCCTGTGGGGGAATCCAGGTAACCACCAGCATCAGGACCTTAAATAGGAAGTCTAGCCAGGCATGGGTACACATACCTATAATTCAGCACTTGGGAGGCTGAGGCAGGAGAAGTACCGTGAGTTTAAGGCCAACTTGGGCTACATAGTGAGTTCCAGCTAGTCTAGGCTGTAACATAAAGCCCTGTCTCAAAAATCAAAACTGAAATGTAGAGTCTGTGAGGTAGCAGTAACTGCCGTGGGAGACAACTAATCAGGGTCCAGACCAGAAGTATTTTTTGGAAGAAGGCTTGGGTTGATCGCAGCCTGGAGGAGAGGGAAGAGCACCTCAGCTTGAAGGCTTGGGGTCTCATTGTGTCTGGCACATTTGATGGAGGAAAGCAGTGGCCATGGGGGAGAGATGGAGCATGCAGGGCCTGACTGCTGAGGGGCAGCGCTTGTTAGAAGGCTCTGATCCCTGAGAGGGACAGAATCCGAGTGTGGTGAGTGTGGTGAGTGTGCGAGTGTGTACCAGTGAGTATGGATGGAACACACGGCCTTGTGTGAGGTAGGTAAGAACTGTACCACTGAGCTACACCTCAGCCTCAAGTTACAGTTTATTAATTTCTTGTGACTGAGTCTCATGTAGCCCAGGCTGGCCTCAAATTTGGCATGACCTAGAGGATGACTCCAAACTTCTGAACTGTCTCCACTGCCAAGTGCCAGGTTCACAGGCACATGCCACCCACACCGTCTTAAGTGTTATAAATTTGTTTTATTGTATGATTTTGATAATTTCATGCACACGTATATTTTGTGTTCACCTGCTAACCTCCCTTGCCCTACTCCCACTGACCCCTCCTCTTCCCAACTAGCCCTCTTTCTAATTTCATGACAGTGTCTCACAGTGCCGCCCTGGCTGGTCTGGAACTGGCTTTGTAGACCATGCTGGCCTCAAAGTCCCGCAGAGCTGCCTGCCTCCTTATTATTTTTTAAATCTGTGGAGTTGCTTGACTGTGCATGGGTGAGGGTTACCTTTGCCTGGCCGTGGGCACCCTCTCAGTGGAGAATATGTCTCCCTTCCTCCAGCAGTTGTTAGCAGAAGTTCCCCAGGGCAGTCCTGAGTTGTGTTTTAACAGAACTTTGGTAATTACTGGCTGAGGGTGGATGCAGGGAGGAGACAGCTTCCATAGTCCAGCTTGGTATCCCACATCTTTTGAGACCGTTTCAAAGTAATGAGTGAAAAAAGAAAGAACCAGCTGGAGAGGTACCGCAGTGCTAGAGCACTTTGTAGTACGGGTGAGGGTGGAGCCAGGCCTGGTGACCAACGCATCCTATCATGGCAGCCTTGGGGGTGGGAGCAGGAGAGGTTCAGGAGTTCAAGGTCACCTGGAATTCAATCGCTCGTTTGAGGCCAGCCTTGGCTACTTGAGGGTCTATTGACTGCTCTCCACCATTATCTCTGCCTGTCCTTGTTCATGACATTGATATTGGGCCCCAGTGGTCCAGTATGGGGTCCTGCAGTCTGGAACTTTCCCCAGTTGAATTTGAGTCCTGTGTCTTTAAAAGGCAGGGACCCTGCTGAATGAAAAAAAAGAAATAAAAAGGAAAGGACGTGACTGCTCCTAGGTATGGTGGAGGAGAAAGTTTGTTAGAGCTGTGTGGGAGAGCATGGCCAGAGGCAGGGACACCTGGGAGAGTCCAGAGTGGACACGACCCTGAGCCGTGTGGGGAGAGGGGGACCCGTGCGTCAGCCAGGAGGCCCAAAAGAGTAGATGAAAGGGCGGGGAACCAGGCTGGGTCATGTAAGGAAGGTTAGCAGGAGAAGGACAGCCCAGCCCTGGGCTGGAGAAGTTCAGGGTAGAGTTCAGCGGTCTGCCAGCCGGAAAGGGCCCTGTAACAGGCAGGGACTGAAGGATCCGGGAGAACCTGGTGGCCAGCATCCGCTTTGATATGTTAAGTAGGCTCCTCAGCCGTTTGTCCCAGGTTTGAAACCATTGCCAACAAAGCACGGTGTGTCCATATCTATCTAGGGAAGGTTTGGGGCACGCCATACTTTGGGGGTATGTGCGTGTGTGGACACGTTCTTGGTGTCTGTCTGTCCCTCCACTATTGTCATCGTGTCAGTCGTGAGAAGAACCTTCCTTTCCTCTCAGTGCTGACTGGTCTGAAAACTTGTTTGAGGTAGAGCTGGCAGGAGTCAGGTAGGAGAGGGCAGATGGCAGACAGGCAGAGAGAACTCTCCACTCCACTGTGGTGGTCCTGAGCGTGGAGAGCCCCACCTGCTAGGATCCTGCTTTCTTGCATTGCACTCTTCCGGTCTTCTCACCACTAAGTGCCTGCGGCTGTGGTCAGAATTCCCAGTCAGTTCTCCGGGTCAGGCCTCTCTCACCCCTGCTGCGCCCACCTGAGGTTCTTAGCGCTCAGCAGGCTGGGCTTGCCCTTGTATCTGTTGTACATTGTTTTCTTTTGAGACAGGGTGGTGCACGCCTTTAACCCCAGCACTCGGGAGGCACAGGCAGGTGGATCTCTGAGTTTGAGGCTAGCCTGGTCTACAGACCAAGTTCCATGCTTGCCAGGGCTACACAGAGAAACCCTGTCTCGAAAAACAACCTAACAAGACAGGGTCTCACTATGTAGCCCTGGCTGGCATGGAACTCTTGTGGACTCGGCTAGGCTTGAACTCATAGATCTCCCTGCCTCTGCCTCCTCAGGCTGGGATTATATGTGTGTGTCAGTGTTCTCAGTCACTCAGGATAACCAAAGAAAGCGGGTCCCTTCAGGATGAAATCAGGCCTCAGAGGCAGCTGGGAGGGAGGTCCAGCCCCAACGGACTGAACCTCCAACAGCCCTACAGAAGCGGATTTATTGACTGTTACACAAAAGGTGTTTTTTTGGGTAGAA